TCACTCTGTTACCCAGGCTAAAGTGCAGTAGCACAAACTTGGCTCCGCAGCCTACTGCCTTATAAATCCTTGCGTGGACCACCTAAAGCAGGGAATGAGAAGCAGAGCTGTGTATTTAGGGCTGAAGTGTAAACTGAACCACATGAGCTGCTCCTTAGAGGTTAGAGACGCCTCCTAGGGCTGATTGCTGAACATACACCAGATCTAAGCTTTCTGCCCATTTTGCCTTAAAGTGTGGTCTTTCTAATATCTCTGGTTTATAAAAAGAGAGAGAAATCTCCAAAGTGTTAGCTATTGAGCAAGTCCTCAAGAGCTAGCAGGACTGGACCCCTCCCAGTCAGGAATTTATGAATTGATGGAGAGGCTGAGGTCACACACTCAAAGGCTGATCCTGCATGAGAAACGAAATAAGAAAGAAGGAAAAGAAGGCGCCTTTGTCCATTCCAGCTGCTGTAATAAACTCCCATAGACTGGGTGGCTTTGAAACAACAGATGTTTCTTTCTCACAGTCCTCGGGGCCGGGAAGTCGTGCCCACGATGGGTCCCATCTCCCTGAACTTGACGGCTGAATAGAAGTGTAGCCTCCCAAGGGCATGTAAAGGCACGCAGAGCCCCTCACCCAGCCTCAGCAGGCACCTGCTGGCTGCCGGGTCTTCAGGGTGCCCTGTGCGTTAAGCAATATCCTCAAGTGACCACCAGGGGGCAGCAGTACCCAGATTGCCTTTCGCTGCACCTTCAGATCAATAAATTCCAGTATTTTGGAATTTATTTGTATAAATAAATACAGTTTTTGTATTTAGATTTGTTTTACATACCCAGCGATTCTGTTTACTCAAAGACTTAACAGAAGCTGGGTGCAGTGACTCATGCCTGTAATCCCAGCACTTTGGGAGACTGAGGCAGGTGGATCGCCTGAGGGCGGGAGCTCAAGACCAGCCTGGCCAGCATGGTGAAACCCTGTCTCTACTAAATATACAAAAATTAGCTGTGTGTGGTGGCAGGCACTTGTAATTCCAGCTATTCAGGAGGCTGAGACAGAATTGCTTGAATCTGGGGAGCGGAGCTTGCAGTGAGCCAAGATCACACCACTGCACTCCAGCCTGGGTGACAGAGTGAGACTTAGTCTCAAAAAAAAAAAAAAAAAAAATTAGCTGGGCATGGTGACTTGTACCTGTAGTCCCAGCTACTCAGGAGGCTGAGTGGGGAGGATGGCTTGAGTATGGGAGGTCGACGCTGCAGTGGGCTATGATTGTAGCCCTGCACTCCAGCCTGGGTGACATAGCCAGATCCTATTTCAAAAAAAAAAAAAAATGTACAGTCCCTATCCACCCATTCATAACTTTATGTCCATTTCTTTTGTCTTCAAGCACTGGCAGCCTTTACTCATCTCTCCTCGCCTGATCTAGCATTTACATCTCACTTGTGCCCATAGAGAAGTCATACACCAATGTGGATTTTAGATGGAGGACACTTTCAACAGAGACACATGCATTATTTTGTGCTCACACAGCCTGGCCTGGAGATGCAACGATTGTGGAATCTAGAATCTGAATGGGAGGGTCAGATGAATGGGATGTTCTCACAGTGTCAGGTGAGGACAGCCTGATAACAGCCTTTCATCGTGAGGCTGGGACCTCTGGTCCCTTGGCCCCAGGACCACACTCAAGGAAATGCCTGTTCCTGCCACTGTGGCTGAGCAGGGTTCCTCTTTCTCTCCCTCTCTTCGAGATAAAGTCTCACTCTGTTGCCCAGGCTGGAGTGCAGTGGCGCACTCTTGACTCACTTTAACCTCCACCTCCCGGGTCCAAGCAATTCTCTCACCTCAGGCTCCTGAGTAGCTGGGATTACAGGCACCTGCTACCATGCCCAGCTCATTTTTGCATTTTTAGTAGAAATGGAGTTTCGTCATGTTGGCTAGGCTGGTCTCAAACTCCTGACCTCATGCAATCTGCCCTCTTTGGCCTCCCAAAATGCTGGGATTACAGGCGCCCAAGCACTGACTCTGTTTATGCTTCTCTCAAGTGTGGCATGGGACTGGCTGGGAGCCATTCTCCCTCTGTAAAGCACAGGCAGTTACTTGGTGGGCTCTGGGCAGAATCCAGCTCAAGGTTATATTTTGTTTGACCCACACAAGTTTCATAGAGCAAATTAGTTGCTAACGTGTAAACATTAGGAGAGTTCACGGCTTCTCCTACAATATCCAGAAGTTCATCCAGACAGTGCCCACATTCCCTGCTCCATCTAGACGGTGCCCACATTCCCTGCTCCATCTAGACTGTGCCCACATTCCCTGCTCCACCCAGATGGTGCCCACATTCTCTGCTCCATCCCGACTGTGCCCACATTCCCTGCTCCATCTAGACGGTGCCCACATTCCCTGCTCCATCTAGACTGTGCCCACATTCCCTGCTCCACCCAGATGGTGCCCACATTCCCTGCTCCATCCCGACTGTGCCCACATTCCCTGCTCCATCTAGACGGTGCCCACATTCCCTGCTCCATCTAGACGGTGCCCACATTCTCTGCTCCATCTAGACTGTGCCCACATTCCCTGCTCCACCCAGATGGTGCCCACATTCCCTGCTCCATCCCGACTGTGCCCACATTCCCTGCTCCATCCCGGCTGTGCCCACATTCCCTGCTCCACCCCGACGGTGTCCACATTCCCTGCTCCATCTAGACAGTGCCCACATTCCCTGCTCCACCCAGATGGTGCCCACATTCCCTGCTCCTTCCTGACTGTGCCCACATTCTCTGCTCTGTCCCGACTGTGCCCACATTCCCTGCTCCGTCCCGACTGTGCCCACATTCCCTGCTCCATCCCGACGGTGCCCACATTCCCTGTTCCATCTAGACTGTGCCCACATTCCCTGCTCTGTCCCAACTGTGCCCACATTCCCTGTTCCATCTAGACTGTGCCCACATTCCCTGCTCTGTCCCGACTGTGCCCACATTCCCCGCTCTGTCCTGACTGTGCCCACAGCATAGCAGCGTCCCCTCTACAAGGCAGGAGGGTGCTACAGGTGGCCACTGTCTCCACCTAGGGCTTTGCTTGCTTTCTACCTGCAGGCATCAGGGGTACCCACGTCTCTCTGCTCTGACCCGCTGTGTGTTGATGGCAGAGTTTCATCATCCACATGCAATCTTACTTTCCTTATTCCCAAGTCTGCGGGGCTGCCTCATCAGAGCATTGCAAGAACTGATAACCATCTTCTAGAATTAACATAGTGATATTGCGAACACACATCACAGATCATGATAAGTGGCTTTAATTTTTCAACAAAATCTCAATACTGCAAAAGCATTGTTGTCCTAGCTAACGAATGCATAGAGTATTGCCTGCAAAACAGTCATTGAGATTCTATCTGTAAAGAGCTTAGAACAGTACATGGTGCATAGCAAGGGCTCTGTATGTGAAGGCAATTTTTAAAATATAGTAACAAGGGCCTGAAAATATGTGGCTCAATTTGTCTTCCACTTACTTTTCCCTCTCCCCCTTTAAGATGAAGAGGAAGGGGAGGGAGGAAGAGAGGTTTGTGAGTGAAGACAGGGGCCCTTTAAGGCCTGGGAAGACTAAAGCCACAGGGCTCTCCCTCTGCCTTAAAAGGCACAGGAATCTTAGTGGGGAAAATGAAGTGGTGATAAAAAGCCAGTCCGTGTGCCTGAAATATCAAAGTCAGTGTGTGCCAGGGATCATGCGGCGGGTCACGTGCGCTCTGGGTCTCTCTCTGCAAACCTGCCTTGCCTTCAGTCTGGGAAAATACAACTGCCTCAGACGGGTCCTGGCTCGCACAGGGGCTGTGAGATGCACAAGGCATAGCTGGGCTGCCACTGGCCCACGAACCCTGGACATGGGAGGCAAGGTGTGGTGTCCATATGCATTATTCGGGTGGGGTGAAGACCACAGCTCTCACTGGATTTTCAAAGGACTTTGTGACCCAAAGGACCGCTCATCTCAAGGACTGTGGTAGCTGAGGGGCTGAGCCATGCCTGTGTTTATTATATGAAGCAAGGACTGGAACCTCATGAGACCACGTGGATCCAACTGAGGATGGCCAAAGATGCACACGTGCTGCTTTTAATTTATCTTAGGTGCAGGTTTTAAACCAGTATGTTTCACTTAAATATTCCACACTCTTCAGGAATGCCCAGGCAGCTGAGCTTTCAGGATGTCACGTTGCAGAGGACTCCGAAGCTACAGATGGCAGCTGGAGACCCTCTCAAGGCAGGTGGCAGAACAGAGGCCCTCTCTATCTGCTGGGGCAGCTCCTCCGGGTGCCCCACTGGAAGGCGGCATGGCTCCGTCTCTGGGTGGGTGAGAGGTGCTGTATGTTCCCTGTAGTATCCCGAGCTGGGTGGCCTCAACAGCAGATACTCACTGCCTCACAGTTCTGGAGGCCAGAAGTTTGAATTCAAGCAGGGCCGTGCTTCCTCCGAAACCTGTGGGGGAGGAGCCTTCCTGGCCTCTTCCCAGCTTCTTGGGATGGGAATGCACATCCATCCTTGACCTTCCCTGGTTTGCGGCCCTGTCACCGCCACACCCTCTGCCTCTGTCACGGCACGGTGTTCTCCCTATGTGTCTGTGTCCAAATTCCCCTCTTCTGATAAGGACTCCAGTCACATCGGAAGAGGGCCCACCCCAATGACCTCATCTCAACTACATCATCTGCAAAGACCCTATTTCCCAACCAGGTCACATTGAAGGTATCTGTCTTTTTGGGGGGTTACAATTCAACTCACAAAACAGGCCCATCACCTCAAAAGGACCTGCCACCCCAGTGCCACACATCGCTCCCTGCTCACAGCCACTCCTTCCCCTGGCTCTCGGGGAGTGGGGGCACCTCTCCCTACTCCCACAGTGACCAAGCACCGTCCCCTTGCTATGCATTCTGAAGGGGGCATTTTTTCCTCCTCCATCTCAGCCCTGTAGGAAGTGAGTTCTTTCTAGCTTGAGGGATGTGTGTGTGTGTGTGTGTGTGCACGCATGTGTGTCTGTGTGTGTCTGTGTATATGAGTGTATGTGTGTTTTTGGGGAGATGTGTGAAGGGTGTGTGCAAGGGAGGAGTGAGAGGCGGAAGGGCAGGAGAATAGTGTCACAGGAGTGAGCACAGAAGTGACTAGGGCAGAATCAGTGTGTGCTTGTGACAAGTACGGAAGCGTCATGCCTTTAGGTTCAGTCCTATAAGGTAGGTGCATTAGTAAGGGCATTGATTCTGCTACTTTAACAAAGATCAAAATAACAGTGGCTTAAGGAAGAGTGGGGTGGGTTTCTCTCTCCTGTACATCAGGCCTGTGGGTGGTAAGGAGGACCCTGCTCCACCACATCGCCCAGGCCCGGATGTGTGTGGTTCTTTGAGTGCCTGGTTATTTTCCAGACTCAGAGCTGCTCTCCACCCCCTCCATGTCCAGCCACTAGGAAGCAGGACCAGGGAAGTAAAGGACACGTCATTTTCTTTCCAAGAATTCCTTGGACATTGCCATCTTCACTTCCATAGCTACTGGCCAGGGCTTAGTCACACAACCTTGCTAGCTGCAAGGGAATCTGGAAAATGCAGCTTCTATTCTCAGAGGCCATGTCCTCAGGGATTCTGCTAAATTTTACAAGGCAGGGACAGATATGGGGGAACCAGTGACAGTCTGTCACAGAAGAATGTGATTTTAGAATAACAGCAAAACAATGTCCTTAATCCACCCCTCACCCCTTACAGTAGCAAAAAAGAAATCCAGTGGTACCCATTACAGTAAAGAGTATGAGAGGAATGTGATTAGAAAATCAGGTTGCCAGGCAGGATGTGTCCAGTGTTAGCCAGTGGTGGGGTTCATGGTGAAGGCTTCGTCTCAGGAAGGTGTGTGTTGGGTTGTTCTACAGCCAGTTGGTTTTCGACGACGTAACATGCTCTGTAGCTCTCCAGGACCCGAGCCTGGACGTAGGCCTTGTCCTTCTCTTGCCAGCTGTCAGACTCGATGTACACGTTGAACGGGTCGTGAGAGTGCTCCAGCTTCTTGGAGCGGATGTAGCTCAGCATGATGCCCAGGGTGAAGAAGCCAAAGAAGCCCAGCACCATGAGGACGTAGAGGGCCTCCAGCTTGCTGTCATCACTGCGGGGGGACCTGCGGGCCAGGCCTGACACGTTGCCTCCCTGCTGAACTATCTCCTGCCACAGCTTGTTCAGAAAAGGCATCACCGCTGTGGCGTTAGACAGGATCATCCTGGGCATCAACGTTCCCCTCCTGGAGCTCGAACTTCCCAGGCACACCTCTTAAAAGCAAAATGCAACCCCAAATCAAAAAGCATGTATTGGCCAAAACCCACATATATGCACACACATGTAAACAATTTTAAAATCTCAGGTGAGAGGGGTAAGCTGACAACCTCCCCAGGCCATGGCATGTGCCATCTTGGGTCTGTGCAATGCCTTCTCTTGATTGATGAATGGATACATTGATTTCCTTCTATTTCCATCCACCACCTCTATTCTCCAGCCCTAAACGTGACCATCAGAATGAGCGTCTTTAATATGCATTGCTGCATATTATGGTTGTATGGGGTTGCATGTGTGCATTTTAGTTTATCTAAATTGTATCAAGTCATTCAGCTCATTCAGTCTCCTTCCTTTTCCTCACGACTGTGTTTTTGTGGTTCACCTGTGTTACTGGATGTGTGCATTCCCTTACTTCCAATGGTTGTATACAACCCATGGTGAATACCCACTTCTTTTCTCTGCCCTCTCCCAGAGATGAACACTGCTCTGGCTGCTAACTCCACAAATACGTGGGGGACAAATATCCCTATCCTTGACCTCCTATGGACCTAAAAAAATCACACATTTTATACAACTAGTTCCTGGTCTTATGCATGACCAGTCAGACTGGGGTGCTGCCAGGGCGCCCTTGGAGGTACTGTGCAGTGGGTGGTCTATTTCACCACGGAGCATCTCCCTATGAGCACTTACATTCATTTGAATGAAACATCCACTCTGTCACATGGTAGACTTCAGAATGTTTAGGGAGATTTCACAGAGAGCTCCCCTTGAAGAGGCCAGTGTTGCAGCTGTGCTGTTTTCCCTCCTTGCCCACACATACGCACACACACATACACAATCTTAAAACCTCAGGTGAGGGGTGCGCTGACATGCTCCCTGGTCCCTGGTGTGTGCCGTCATGGGTCTACACAATGCCCGCTCTGGGTTGATCGGTGGATACATGGGTTGCCTTTTATTTCCATTCACCATTTGCTGGCTCTGCAGAAAGTGACACTTTCCCTATCATTTAATCTTGATATCGCTGTCCCTGTATACTCATCATGGGCCTGGGAATTGGAAAAATTGTCTCCAAGTAGCTGTGAAATTCTGTCAGGGGTTTGGTGTGCGGTGGAAACCCCATCTAGGTGACTTTGAGATCATTGGTAAGCTAAAAAACAGGCCTTATTGGCCGGGCGCGGTGGCTCAAGCCTGTAATCCCAGCACTTTGGGAGGCCGAGGCGGGTGGATCACAAGGTCAAGATATCGAGACCATCCTGGTCAACATGGTGAAACCCCGTCTCTACTTAAAATACAAAAAAGTAGCTGGGCATGGTGGCATATGCCTGTAATCCAAGCTACTCAGGAGGCTGAGGCAGGAGAATTGCCTGAACCCAGGAGGCGGAGGTTGCGGTGAGCCGAGATCGCGCCATTGCACTCCAGCCTGGGTAACAAGAGCGAAACTCCGTCTCAAAAAAAAAAAAAAAAAAAAAAAAACAGGCCTTATTGTTTTTTGTTTGTTTGTTTGTTTGTTTGTTTGAGCAAATGCCAGCCTCTACCCCTAGTTTCTGCTGGGAAACAAAAGCCCTGAGGCCAAGTTGTTGATGTCACACTCCAAACTCAAGCCGGAGGGGACCATTCGGCGCTTATCACATGTAAGTGCTCCCACTCAATTCTTTCTTTCTCTGTTTTATTGAGACAGAGTCTCACTCTGTCACCATGCTGAAGTGCAATGGTGTGATCTCAGCTCACTGCAGCCTCAACCTCCTGGGTTCAGGTGATCCTCCTACCTCAGCCTCCAGAGAAGATGGAACTACAGGTACGCACCATCATGCCTGGTGAATTTTTGCATTTTTTGCAGTGGTGAGGTTGCCCTGTGTTGCCAAGGCTGGTCTTGAACTCCTGGGCTTACAAGATCCACCCACCTCAGTCTCCCAAAGTGCTAGGATTACAGGCATGAGCTATTCCGCTTGTCCCTTACTCACTTCTTAGTAGCTGAGTAGAATATGGCCTGGAGGCACTCTCGGGATGACTGTTGTAACTAGAGGTGAAGGAGTGTTTGGGAAGACTGTTTATGGCCAGAATCGCTACGGAAACAGAAATCCCCAACACATGCTGGGACAGCTCTGTCTTTCCCAGCCAGGATAGGGACTGTGACATTGCACATCATCTTGTGTAGGACCGATAACCTCCGAAATCTGGCTCCTCTGCAGCTTAGACCTAGAGCCAATTCTTCATTGAATTGGCTTCACTGTAAAACATACGCTGAACCCAGCATCAGGTGAAGACATCTGGCACCTATCCAGGGCCCTCTTCCTCTACCCACCTCTGAAATGTGGCTGTATCTCAGAGTTCTATCACCTGCTGTCTCCTCTTCCCACTCTCCTCTCTCCCAGGATGACCGCACCTGCTCCAGTTCACTGGCATGGCCACGACCCAGGGCCCTCTTTAAGCTCCAGAGACATGTGTCCAATGACCTGCTAAGGAGATGGTTCCCTTTGGCCATCCCCTGGCTCCTCAAACTTAACACCCCACCCTGGGCTGTCAGAGACTGGCCCCTGCCTCAGTGAGCTGAGTGGCAACACCAATCACCCCAAAATCTTTATCATTCTCCCTGATGACTGCAATCTTGTCATGGCAGTCCCCACCTTGAAGGCCTTCCTTGGCTCCTCCCTGCCTTCAAGGTGGAACTCCTGGTCTTCTTCAAGGATACAGGCCCTAAATTTGAGAATCTCTGCATCCCTCTCCAATTCTGTGTCTGCACAGACTCAAAAGCGTAAAAACCAGGAGAGGCCATGAACAATCTTTGATTCTCATTGATGTCTGATCTTTCCGAAAAGTAAAGAAGAGAGCCACCATGGTCAGCCACAGGAACGCCAAGCCTAAACCCCCAAAGCCCGAAATCCTCGGGCTGCAATTTCACTGCAATTGCTACTGCATCCAGACCCTATGTCCTATGGTCCCTGCTGGCCCCAGAGCCTCCACACGCTGCGCATCTCCAGCTCAGACTTGCACCTCCTTCTTGGCTCATGAAACTTCTCAGTGATGCCTACTCCTGCTTAAAATTCAGCCTAGCTCTCCCTTCCTGAAGCCTGCTCTGATGCATGGGGCTGGGCCAGCACTGTGTATACCATGACCCCTGCTAACCTTATCATGGTCGGGATCTCCAGGCCCCTTACCTTATCCCTGCCCTGCCTACCTAGGTTGGTGCTGGGCATGCAGCAACACAGGAGCTGGCCATGAGCGTTTATTGAATAAATGCCACTGGAACTTAGTATCTTTTGACCAGTGGGGCTTGACTATTTATAACATACTTATTCTGATGAACAGATGCCAATGAGCTGGCTCCAAAGCTTTAACTGACTCCCTTTTCCAGAAGGGTAGTCATCTCCCACCCTGAGCCACAGTCTCAGAAGGCAGGTGTGAGGAGCAGAAAGAGCTCAGACTCTGGGATTCCACTGCCACCCCCAGGGTTGATTCTAGCTTTGCTTTGCTGCTTCCCGGCCACATGATCCTGGACAGGTTCCTTATTTGCTCAGTCAAGTCTTTCTCTTTCCAAAGTAGTGAGAAACACCACTGACATCTGCGGGCTGTTGAATCACTGATCAGGTGCGTAGAGTGGCTGACAGCACGTGGCATGTGGCAGGTGCACACTCAGTGGTCCTGGGTAGGAGTTTATTGGTTTTTCCATCTCGTTAAGAAATTGCAGCCCAAGGATATGGGGCTTTAGATGTTTACGTTTGGCGTTCCCGTGGCTAACCATGGCGGCTCTCCTTTACTTTGTGGAGAGATCAGATATGAATGAGAATCAAAGATTGTGGCCTTTCCTGGTTTCTAGGCTTTTGAGTCTGTGCAGAGATATGTCAGGGGTTAAGCTGCCTGGGCTCAAGTGACTCAGGTACTTGTTCTTATACAAAACTAGCATTTAGCTCCATTCTAATCACAGGGGTAGTGAGGAATTGTTTGGTAACAGATCCAAACTAGATGCTCAACCATTTCTTTTTAAATGAGCCGAAACCACTTATGAATGCATAAAATCCCTGCCCCAGAAAACAGACAGACCTGGACCTGATACTGTGATGTTATTTCCAAAAACCCAGAATGATCACAACTGGAAAATAATTCTGCCACCAATTACTGTTAGAGAGTCTTTACAACTTCAAGACCATGTGATAATAGAATTATGAAAGGCAGCATTTGAAGATCCACATGTTAATTGGCTTAAAACTGATAAATACATACAGCAAATTAAATTAAGAATAATGTCTGTAGTTAATTCATAATAGGGAGTTCACTAAGAAGGCTTGTTACTTACAACCAGATGGACTTTTCTATGGTCAAAGAAGCAAGCGGAAACACCTGCTTTGAAAACCTCCCAAGCCCAAACCATCCCCCACCTTGTTCTAAGGCAGTGGTTCCCAATCTTTAGAGTGCTTTAGGGTGACCTTGTTAAAATACAGAATGCTGCTTTAATCCCAGCACTTTGGGAGGCCGAGACAGGTGGATAACTTGATGTCAGGAGTTCGAGACCAGCCTGGCCAACATGGTGAAACCCTGTCTCTTACTAAAAATACAAAAATCAGCCAGGCATGCTGGCAGGCACCTGTAGCCCCAGCTACTCAGGAGGCTGAGGCAGGAGAATCACTTGAACCCAGGAGGTGGAGGTTGCAGTGAGCTGAGATTGTGCCATTGCATTCCAGCCTAGGTGACAGAGTGAGACTCTGTCTAAACAAATGCGGATTGCTGGGCTCTACTTATGGAATTTCTGATTAGGTAGAGCTGGGGCAGGCCTTGGAATCTGCATTCCTAACACATTCCCACGTGGTGCTAATGCTGCTGGTTTGTAGGCCCTGCTTGGTGATCTCTTGGAGTCACAGGGGGAGCTTTTAGAAAATAATGGTTCCTGGATTTTAATGTCACTGGTCTGGGTTCCTGCCTGATCTGGAGACTTTTTAGAAACCTCTGAAATGATGCTAATTTGTAGCCAAGCTGGAGAACCACTGAGCTGCGGTGTGGGTCCCCAGGAAACTGAGCCACCAGCCTTTTGTGCTGCAGGGTACCTGGAGGAATTTTGCAAGAATATAAACTATGATTTCGCTGACTCTTTTTCAAATCTTGTTTGTTTTTTAGTATTTTCTTTTTTGGTCTTGTTTGCCTCTGACACAGTCTGAAGAGAAATGGCAGAACGAAACTCTCCAGTCTTCAGTGTAACCTCAGCTCTCCCCACTCTCATGCACGCTGATGCCTTCAATTACAATCCGCCTGTCAAAGCTTAGGTCAAGCTTTAGGTCAAGCGAATTAACCGCCTTTCAAATAACAACCCTATATTTTTAAAATATTTTTAAAAAACTTTACATGTAATTTATTGCATGGCTTTTGTTGAATGTCCTCCATACTCCCAATGCCTGCAGGCTGGGTCACCATGGCACTTTTCTGTAATGAGTCCCAAAATGAGTTTGGCAATGTTTTCTTTTTTTGTTTTTTTTTTGTTTTCGTTTTTTGGTTCATTTCGCTCTTGGCAATGTCTTCTTAATAGTTAATGTCGTGTAAATGACACAGAGTCTGGGATCTGCATGTCATTTGGGAATTTATGTCAGATTCTCTAGGTTCCGTTCTATTGTACATGATTCCAAAGCACTACATGCCCTGTGGCTGCACTCTCAGACTGCTGGACTCCAACAGAGTGGGAGAGCAACTGATCCAACCATCTTAATTTACAGAAAATGGGGCTCCTTAGAGGTGAGATGGCTTGCCAAAAGTAATCTCTCCTATCAGAAATACGTGTCCTTAGCAAACTAACGCAGGAACAGAAAACCAAACACTGCATGCTCTCACTTATATGTGGGAGCTGAACAATGAGAACACATGGACACAGGGAGGGGAACGACACTTACTGGAGCCTGCTGGGTGGGGGGAAGGTGGGTGGGGAAGAGCATTAGGGAAAAGAGCTAATGCATGCTGGGCTTAATAGCTGGGTGATGGGTTGACAGGTGCCACAAACATCATGGCACATGTTTACGTATGTAACACACCTGCACGTCCTGAACTTGTACCCTGGAACTTAAATAAATAAAAACAAAAACTAACAACCAAAAATATATCTAAAATGTAACCTCTTAGCTATTGACTCGTATTTGATTTAGAAGGAGAGCAATTCCCAGGACTTTGTACAGAAGAAACCGACCCTTTATTGAGGCTCAAAGTAGCTGAGGAATAGGCCACTTCTGTCAGGTAGCATTGGATCTATGCAAATGGAGGTTGGCTTCTTACCTAAATATGCCATCAGAAGTCATCCCTGTTCCTTTCCCTTCAGCTTTTTGTGGCTTGCACAGTGATTAAAGGGATGAGGAAGACAGAAACGGTAGGGGTCAGGGATGTTCAACTCCAAACAAAGTCCATCTGATGCTCGGCGTGTGCTGAACACTCTCAAACTGTGGCCTTGTCTGGCCCAGAAAGTAGGGGTGGATTCTGGCCATTTCTGCTTCTGCCTGGGTGTGAGACATGAATGCTGCCCCTTATCAAGGGTAGCATAATTTTTGTTTTCTTAAAAGCTTAGACCCAGAGCTGCTGGTCTGCTGGAAATCATTCAGGACACAGGGCTCTGGGTAGCTGAGCTGAGTGAAGCACCTGTAGGTGCGGACCAACGGAGACTCCTGCTCCCTGGAGTTCCGTTAGGCCCCCAGCTGAATCCAGGGGAGAAGAGGGCAGTGGGTGGCGCCTCGCTGCTCCCAGCACACACCACCCTTCTGATTTATCCCCCGTGCTCCAGCTGTGTGGCCTATCAGCACTGATAACAGCCTGGAAGCTTTCCGAACAGCTTTCCCAGCAAGAGAAACTTTCTTTCTTTCCCTCCCTCCCTCCCTCCCTCCCTCCCTTACTCCCTCCCTTCCTTCTTCCTCTCTCTTTCTCTCTCCCTTCCTTCCTTCCTTCCTTCCTTCCTTCCTTCCCCTCTCTCTCTCTCGCGCGCTCTCTCTCTCTCTCACTTTCTTTCTCCAAAGTCTTTATTTCTAAGACCATTTGTGGCCTACCCATGCATAAGCTGGTCGGGCTGTAGACAGCAGCCTTCCCCAGTAAATACTGCAGACTTCCAGTATTGAGCCCTGTCCCATTCATTCTGCCGGGGAGATGCGTGGGGCATTTGCTCATGGGGAGGCCACAAATTTGTTTCCCTCGTCCCTGTGACCTCGGACTCCTTTTGAGTGTGTTTAAAAGGGAGGAGCCGTTCTTCAGGCCCCCTGCCCTGAGCACATCCCTCTCATTCTTTTATTATTATTAGCAAATCCTCCCAGATCCCGATCAGTCTTTCTTACCCATTTACTGACTGGGTAAGGTTCTTGTGGCTGACTCCGAGCTTTCTTCTAAAAGGAATAGATTCTAGGGGTGAGTAGGGAAGACAGAAATGTCAGAGTCAGAGCTCAGGAATCTGGGCTCCAGCCCCAGCTCAGTCCTAGATAAACTACATGACTCCTTAACTTACTTCCCTAGGTTGACTGGGGTGGCATTTTTATCACGCTTGACAGCACTCCTTACACATTTCCTCAAAGAGCACCCACTCTTAACGTCATCATTTGGCCTCATTTCTTTTAAGAAGCAGAATTAGGGTAAAAGCAATGATGGATAAGCCTCATTTTGGTGAATACGATCGTACTGAGCCAAGAATTCTGAGTCAACTGTCTTTGGAAGCAACTGTCTATTGTTTTCATCTTTATCACAACACTGTGTCCAAATTCTGGAAACGTTATTTACCTCGTTGCAGAAAAGAAGCCACCCAGGCCCACCACATGCTTCCAGGCAGTTGGCTGGCTTTGTCTGGTCTCCTGTCCTTCCCCTCTTCCCAGAGTCAGTGGGCACCAAGGTGGCCAGGGTCTCTCAAGAATCAGGATGAAACCGTGCAGAGGCCCAGAATCAGACTGTCCTCTCTGATCAGAAAAGTGTTTTCTGTCACATCCTAGTGGGACGCGGGGTGTGGCTTGAGTCTGGTGCTTTTACCAGGAGCTTCCTGGACCTCTCTGCAGGTGATGGAGAGAGGGCTTGGGGTGCAAAGGATGGAAATAGAAACACTGAATGCTCAGGGAGTCAGGCCAGCGAGCCGGTGAGGAGACTCCATCCAACTCGATATGAAAACATGGGCGAGTGTTTGGCAGCTGAAGTCACCCATCAGGAGGGAAGGAAGGAATCTCAACTTCAGCAAATGAAATAAATCTGGGGAGCCTCAGTTTCCTCACCTGAACAGTGGAAATGATGGAATCTACTCTCATTATATACTATATATAATTGCGCGCGCGCACACACACACACACACACACACACACACAATGGGGTAAGCCTCATTTTGGTGAATATGATCTTATTGAGACAAGAATTCTGAGTCAATTGTCCTTGGAAGCAACTGTCTATTGTTTTCATCTTTATCACAACACTATGTCCAAATTCTGGAAACACATTTACCTTGTTACAGAAAAGAAGCCACCCAGAGCCACCAGATGCTTCCTGGAAGTTGGCTGGCTGTGCCTGGTCTTCTGTCTTTCCCCTCTCCCCAGAGTCAGGGGGCACTAAGTGGGCAAGGTGGTGAGGAGACTCGATCAAACTCTATGAAAACATGTGTGAGCGTTTGGGGTATATGCCCCAGGTTTTTGTGCAGCATGGGATCAGCCCCCAACCTTCCTGGCTTGCTTTATTTTATTTTCGTTTTGAGACCGAGTATTGCTCTGTTGCCCAGGCTGGAGTGCAGTGGCACAATCTCAACTTACTAAAACCTCCTCTACCTCCTGGGTTCAAGTGATTCTCATGCCTCAGCTTCCCGAGTAGTTGGGTATACAGGTGTGTGCCATCATCCCAGCTACTTTTTGTATTTTTAGTACAGATAGGGTTTCGCCTTGTTGCCCAGGCTCGGCATACCTGGACTCAGGCCATCGGCCCCACCTTGGCCTCCCAAAGTGCTGGGATTACAGGCATGAGCCACTGTGCTCGGCCTCTTGCTTTGTTTGCTGTTCCCTCTATGGGTGAGGCATTCCCACCATATTCCCTTGTTAAAATTCTACTGGTCCTTCAAAATCCAGCTCATATCCACACTGTGTCTGACTCTGATCCAGAATCTCTTCCCCTTCATTGACCCCTCATACCTTGTCTATATCTCTCCTGCAGTGCTGGCCATATTCTAACTTCTAACCATTTGTAGACTTGTCTGGGCATTTCCTCCCACGAGGTCCCAAAGGACAGAGACCAACTTGCTCACCTTTGTCCCCACTCCAATACCCAGAATATTTCAGTAAGGTTTTCCTGAACTAAATGGGAATGCAAAGAATTAGATTCACTACCATGACAATGGGAAAGTGAGTGAATAACTGATGAAGTATACAACGCTCTGAAAATAGATTGTTTAGTAATCAAAGGAAAAACTCTTGCAATGTAGCATGTTTTTATATATTAAATTTTATATTATTTATATTTATATTATTAATGTAAATTAATAGTAAAATAATAATAGTAAAATAATAAATTAACAAAAATATATTTTTATCATTACTCATTTTGTATATTAGGATCTACAGTCTTCTTATCTATGTATCTGCAACCCACTTTATTTCTAAAACCCTTTCAGGCATTCAGTGATTGTTAACAGTAGAGCACAATTTTCTTCCCTCCTTCCCCATTCCCAGTAACTCTTAACCTTTTCTCTCCTCCTTCTCCATAGTCTTTGTCACCTTCCAATATAATCAAGTTTTCTTAATTATCATGTTGATTGTTCAATGTTTGTCTTTCCCACCAAAATGCAAGCTTTTGCAGGCAAGGATCTTTGTTTGGGTTGTTCTTCATTGCATCCCAAGCAGCTAGAACAGTGTCTGGCATATGGTAGGAGCACCATAAACATTCAGCAAATGCAGGCAGGCATGCATGAACACATGAATAATAAGTGTTCCATTCAACTACCAGAAAGACCGAAACCACACAGTAGCTGTCTCGCCCTCAGAGATTTAAGACGACAGCAGTGAGTCCCTCTGATGTCTTCTAAGTGAGCTTTATTTTCAAGACAATTCATTTTCCAATAACCTGTCCAAAGCAGGTCCTACCTGAACATCCTTGACTATTTCCTTTGGATACAGAGAATATCTTCCTCCAAGGGCTCCTCAGCTAACCTGATGATTGTGTGAAACTGGCCAGAGAAAGCAGCTCAGTTTTGCCTGGTCACTGAAAATCAGAGTCGTGGCTGAATTTAAGCAACTGGGTGAACTCAGCAAAGTCCCCACCACCTGGACCATAAATGATAGCTGCGGTTATTGACAAGGTACTTCCTTAATGCAGCTGGAACCTCCTTCTTAATCTGAATGTGGACTCAGATGAACTGTCAATTCTCATAGAGCAATGTGACAAATCCGGGAGGCGATGTGTTATGCAGTAGACTGGGCACATGCATATGTCTCTGCTGCTTAGTCAACTTTCTTCTGAAGTTCCCCAGTTTTCCCATTACGGCAATCAAGATCGGATATCAGAAATGTTCTCCGAGTCCCATGCCCTTTCTGCAGGGAGATGCCAAGGCCCAGGAGCTGGCCCCCAAAAATAATAATAATAAAAGAAAAGAAAAAGAAAAAAGCTGAAGATCTTTGAAACCAAGTGGGGACTCAGGTCCCGTGAGTGGTTTTTATTTTCTTTTTCGTTTGAAACTTGCAGGTAGGTGTTTTCCAAATATTTCACAAGAATGTCTATAACTTAATAATGGCGGAATGTTTTCTTTGTTTTATGTTGGTGATATGCTTTCCTACGCGTTTGTTGCATAAGTAGTGAGAACGGCAGAAGGAAAGGAGGGGAGAGGGTGAACATCCTATCCTGTCTCCCACTCTGGGGGTCGCGGCGCTTCTAGCCTGGAGCGCGCCCGCTGCGCGTCCAGAGACGCAGGTTCTAGGAGCCCCCCGGGTCGCCGGACTAGGTCACCCGCGACCCGGAAGAGGGCCGCGGAGGTGGGAGCCCCTGACTTACCTGGGTCTGAGATGCCGAGAAAGCCGGGTGTGGAGGGGAGTGCGCGCCTGCCGAGCGCTGAGGCCACCGACAGCCCAGCCCCGGGGTGGCACCCTCTGAGCGCCTGAGCGCTGCGCTGGGGGCGGGGAGGGGCCGGCGGGACCTCCCGGGGCCTCCCAGAGCCGCCACGTGTCCCGCCCCACTCCACCCACCCGCACGGACCAGCCCAGGGTCCCCCGGGAACCACCCCTCACCAGCCCCGAATCACCCGGGTCTTCTGCACCCTGCACCCCAGACCAACGCCGCCCCGCGCGCGGGAAGGCGCTTTGGATCTTGCCCGAGAAGCTCAGGGCCGGCAGAACGTCTGCGTTAGGATCCCGAAAGCCGATGGGCCGACAGAGCCACCTACCTTCCGGCAAAAGTTTGAGGTTGCTAGGGTGGAAGCTTCTGCAGCCCGGAGAAAGGCCCTCTGGGAGACGCCCCACCCTCGGACGCGCGGGCCTTCAAACATCTCCGAGCATAATCACTCCAAAGACCGCTTATCCTCCGCCCCCACGGCTCGTTTTAGCCTCATCCCGCACCCTAGCTTCGGCCACACCCCTATTTGGCAAACATTTATTAAGCGCCTACTTACTGAGTGTGCAGCCCTGAGCCCGGGGTGCAGCTGTGGGCCAGACTGGAGGGAACCCAGAGCGGTAGGCAGTCGCTGGAGGCACCCAAAGCCTTGGCGCGCACTCTAACGTACTGGGG